CAACACAAACTTTGCAGTTTTGCTTTTTTTTTTCAAATGGCAAAACTGCAAAGAAAACAATCGCAAAGCTTCTTTTTTTAGCTAAGGTTTACGGGCTGCAGAGAACTATCCTATAATTTTAGCTACCGTAGCGTGGCACCATTTTTGAAGCTTTTATTTAAATAAAATAAAAACTTGTAGAAAATTTTAAAAAGTTATTTTATTTATTTATTTATATTATTAAGTTATGTTATGAAATTTTTAAAAGATATGTTATTTTAGTACTACATTCGGTCATTTAGGAAGGCCGAATTAAAAAAAAAAATTCCAGCAAAGAGTTTATGACACACAATATGCGGGTGCGCGTTTACCCCACGATTTGGGGTAAACGAGCACCTTAATATCTTTTTCATATATATATATATATATATATATATATATATATATATATATATATATATACATATATATACATATATATATATACATATATATATATATATATATATATATATATATATATATATATATATATATATATATATATATATATATATATATATATATATATATATATATATATATATATATATATATATATATATATATATATATATATATAATGTATATATGCGGAGATAGATGCAATAAGAAATCTATATTTTATATTGAATATTGATTTAATTTAAAACCTTATATCAAATCCGTTGCAAAATTAGCATCTGCTAAAGTTGTATCTCTTTATCAAATTCGACACTTTCTTACTCTGAATTCTATTCTCTATCTCTATAAATCTCAAATCCGACCTTGTATGGAATACTGTTGACATATCTGGGGCGGATCTTCTAATGATGCCCTTTCTCTTTTAGACAAGGTGCAAAAACATTGTAAACATAGTTGGACCTGCTTTTGCAGTCAACCTTCAACCTTTGTCACATCGTCGTAATGTTGCTTCTCTTTTTCTTTTCTACAAATACTATAATGGACACTGCTTTAAAGAGCTAGCGTCTCTTATGCCATCTACTAAAATTCATTCTCGTGTTATTCGTCATTCAATAGATAGATGCAATAAGAAATCTATATTTTATATTGAATATTGATTTAATTTCATTTTATAAAAACTATTGACAGTATTTTATCAAAAGCATCATACTTTGTGCGTGTATGTGTGTTCGTGCAAAAGATCCTTATCTGACACTCAGTCCCATTGGGTCATCATGGCACCCAGCAAAAAATTAAATCCAAAAACATACAATGCAGCAGACGAATTTTCTTTATCTAATCTAATATTTTACCTAGCATTCAAATAAACTTAGATATTTTTTATTTGTATGTTGAACATAATCAAATGGAACAATTTTTTATTTAAATTTTCATAATTTATTAAAAAAAAAGGTTTCTTGTTTATAAAAAAATAAATAATCCAGACAAACTAACCTGGACTTCCTATCTTCCTGACTCATATGATATACATGGGGACACTAGTATGAACTTACATAAATTTGAAGTTGGTTTAAGTCAACTGTCTCAAACATAAAATAATCAAATGAAAAAATAGTCTAACATACTTTGTTCGAACTTTATAACAAAGTAAAATAAAAAAACATAAATATATGAAACACAAATATATCAACGCATATGTAAGTCACCAATGATTTCTTTCAAAAAAGATATGTTGTTTTTTTCATACTGGGGACAAGGAAGCTGTTTAACAATAGATTTGCTTTCTGTTATAAAGTAATCAGGAACCTGCGGTTCTTTGAAGGATATGATTCTTGGGTTTGAAGGATCAAAATCTCGTCTAAAGTATTTAATGTTCCAATTATTATTTTCATCTGAATTTACAACTTGGCATACAAAATGATATGGTATCTTTTTTCCTTCAAACCTTGCAATAACATAAGAACCCTCTACTAATGGATATTTAGAGGTTACAACCATACCGGAATCATGTATTTTTTTATTAGAATTAGGATCTGATTCAAAGCTGTCTTTTAAGCAGTCTTCATTTAAGCAGTCTTCAAGCTTTTTTTGGATATGTGTTTGCTTTTGATGGAAAATGGAACCATAAAGGCCAGAAACACCAGTATATAAATTACTTTTTTCAGCAAATAAATCTTTTTTTTTTAAAGTTTTACTTTTGACTTTCTGTATACCCTCAGATTTTTTTGCAGAATCTTCTTGTAGCTAGTGAATTTTAATTCAAATAAAACTCAATTTCTTTCAGCCAATCGTTATCGCAATAACTTAGACCTTCCTATATTTATGAACGGTAATGTACTAGATCATCTACCCTTCATCTTCTAGGATTAACTGTTACTTCTGATCTATCTTGGAAACCTTATATCAAATCCGTTGCAAAATTAGCATCTGCTACATTTGTTTCTCTTTATCGAACTCGACACTTTCTTACTCTGGATTCTATTCTCTATCTCTATAATTCTCAAATCCGGCCTTGTATGGAATACTGTTGCCATATCTGGGGCGGATTTTCTAATGATGCCCTTTCTCTTTTAGACAAGGTGCAAAAACGCATTGTAAACATAGTTGGTCCTGCTCTTGCAGCCAACCTTCAACCTCTGTCACATCGTCGTAATGTTGCTTCTCTTTCTCTTTTCTACAAATACTATAATGGGCACTGCTCTAAAGAGCTGGTGTCTCTTCTGCCATTTACTAAAATTCATTTTCGTGTTTTTCGTCATTCAATTAAGTCTTATTCTTTTTTCTGTTACTGTTCCTAAGTGCTCCAAAAACTCTTATTCGTCTAGTTTTTTTCCTCGAACATCAGTTCTTTGGAATTCGCTTACTTCATCTTGCTTTCCTGATTCATATAATTTGCAATCTTTTAAGTCATCTGTCAATTGTTATCTTGCTCTACAACCTTCATCTTTTCTCCTTCAGTAACTTTGAACACTAATTAGTGGTTGCTTGCAACCTTGTTGGAAGCGAAGATGAAAAAAAAAAAAAAAAACGCTTTATACACATCTTGGAACTGGAAGGCATATCATAATCGATAACATCTTTAAAACTATCCAAATCTACTGAAGAAGTTATTTTATCTAAGGAGTCGTTCAAAAGGATATTTTTCATTTTAATTAACTTGCGTTTTGATTGGGATTTTAAAAAAGAAGAAACTGCAACATCATCCAGTGAAACACTTTTTCCCGGTGAAACGTTGACTTTTTTCCCACGCAACACTGCCCCAGGCCTTTTAGCAGAGGCTTCTCTAAGTTCTTTAAGACGTTCAAGAACTAACGGGGATACTAAGTTTTGAGAGGATGTAGAAATGTCTGCTATAGCCTTGCCACACATTTACAAGGTTCTCCATTATTAACAAGTTCGACTGCTTTTTTATGTTCATTATCTGTGTAGGTTTTGAAAAGTTTTGGCCTTGATTTTACGTAGTTTCTCACCATTTTATCAGATATCTAATATGTAAAAGTAAAACATATAAGCTAAAAATTTAAACTATTTGCACCGTAAGATATTTATTTCATTAACAATAGTATTTAAAGGGTAAAAAATAGCTATTTGAAAAGGTGCTTATCTACCCCAAATAAGGTGCTCAATTACCCCACATTACTTTAAACAACGATATTTTATTAACAATTCATTTATGAGACTTTAAAATTTATACGAATTTACCTCAACATATGTATAGTATACTACAAAAAATTCAAAACTCTAAGAAGGTTTTAACTATAACTGTTTACCCTTAGTGTTTTTAGCTATTAGTTCTTTACGGAATTCTATGATTCTGCATCGTGATATATTTAAAATGTTATCAGCTATTTATTTTTGACCAAAACAGTTGTAATTAGCAACATACAACTTAAAAAAGTTAATTTAAGTATTTATATCTTGAAAATGATCTAAGCATTGATATTATCTATTTTATATGACTTTTAAAATTAAAATGTTTACGGATGCCCAATTACCCCAGAAAGTGCTCAATTACCCCACGCTACGGTACTCTGACAGACTTCAAACTGTGTTTTTGTATAGACTGCGTTAAGCGTTAACGTAGTTCCACTGGTAGAAACTGCATTTTTTCAAAAAATCTTTTGTAGAATCGTGACGCTCAACTAACTCGTTCATTTCCGTTTAATAGCATTTCACTAGCAGTAGATATACGCTTAAAACGACAAAAATCCGCTCAGCTCATGCAAACTAGCGTGCACGTAGAAAGAAAACAGAAATTACGTTGACTTTGATTAAACCAAATTTGCTTTGAAGGTAGACGAGCAACACGGGAAGAGCAAAAATTATTGATTTGCATTAACTTTATATATGTTATATACTGAATATATATGCTTTGACATACAACGTAACAAACTACACAAACACGCGCGATAGTGATAATAATGATTAAACTTGCATCGCGTGCCTTAGTATTTTTACAAATTCTTGTCACCGTGAGAGTGTGCGTAAGTTGCGTGCTGATTATTACACCACATTTAATTCAAAATTGCTCCATTACTCAATTGCTTGGTGGTTTATCAAAGCATTCTGGTAGACAGAAGAGTTCCCTCATGGAGAGGGGGGGGGGGGCAGGGACAACTAAAGACAAAAAAAAAAATAAAAAAAAAAACCTCGATAATTGACGTTTGCCAACAATACTTCAAAACTTGCCAACTCAAATGCTAAATGTACAAATGTAACAACTCAGATGCATAACAGTATTGGAGGATGGGGATTGTGGGACAACCCCTACATCCCCGTTCGGGACGTCCCTGTCTAGGACATAGATAATAAATAGCTAACTCATATAAATTTTAGAAGCAACAGTCAGAACTACGTGGTACTATTAAAGCCAAAATAAAACTACGATTTACTTGATTTACCAAAGAAGCCAGGGCTCATTTTTTTTCACACATCATCGACGCATTGTTAACTTACATATGCAAAGTATATATTTAAGTTAAGTCACATTTTTTAATACTTTTAGTCAGATTTTCTATTTGCGTATCTATAGTAAATCTACTACCTAATCTATCTAAGCAAACAAATAATACAAAATCTATTTAACCAATCAAATATTCGCAATAAAAAGACTTGAAGGTTTTAAAACAATACAAAAATATTTATATCAATTCTTCACAAAAACAATATATACTATAAATTTAATAAATAATAGTCAGAAAAACAAATAAATTCACGCAATTCAAGTAAACTTAGAAGTAAGAAAGTGTATTTTCATTAATAAAGAATCATGTGGATCTAAATGCCAAGGTTTAGGTTTAGATAAACCACAAAGAATTGATTCAGCAACCTTTGGTCTTTTAAGGATACTTGATAGTTCTTTAGAGAAAGTCACAACATATTGAAATCTTGGTTCATCAGTTTCAAATTTTGCCGATGATAACTTGTTCAGACAAATAATGGCTCTGGGGATCATTTCCTGTGAAAAAGTAGCCAATTTAGACAAAGTTGAAATAAAGCTGCAAATTATTTCAGGATCTTCTTGTCCAGAAAAAGAACTAATCATCCCATAAATTATTGTTTCAAATGTTTCATAATATTGTAAAGCCTGTGACTTGTCTTTGCAAGATTCAATTCCCAAAGAGATACACCAAGCAAGCCTTGACAAAAATGGTTGAGTATTAACAAACTTTGAAAAGGTGAATTGATTAAACAGGGCAATAGTTTCCTTGTGATATGTTGAAATGACATCGGGAACAAAAGATACGATGTTACACACTTCCTCGCAAAATATTTTAATGATTTTTTTCTGAGAGCTGTTTTGCGGAAAGAGCAAAAAAATCCTCTCAAGTATTATTGGATAAATACTCGTTAGTGATTCAGGATCGCCCAAATGTTTTAATTTATTGAAATAACTCTTTAGTAAATGAGGAACTACTTCAGAAGAATATTGAACACGTGGATATGATTCAAATGGCTTCATAAGCTTATGAAGTTCAGCTATTTTATCAACAGTTTTATAACCAACAAGTGTCTCCCGCATTATAAAAGTAAACTTATCTTTGTACAATTTTGAAGTATAATTTTGGCCCAACTGTTCTTTCATTTTCACTTCATCATCTAGCACTTTCTGACTTTTTAAATTCAACAAATACGCTAAACAAGGTAAGTCCAATATAATACTCAGCAACTCACTACAATTAGATGAATTTGTTACCATTTCAACAAACTCAAAACTATCTTCAAGAAATGAGCAACACCACCAAGCAAATATTTTAAATATATTTGGTGTGTATTTTAAAACAACTTCATTAACACTGCAAAATGATTTATTGTCTAGACAAAATTGCACAAGTTCATAGCACGCAATTTCATTATTTAAATATTTGCAGGGTATTTCTTTAAAGTATAAATCCAATATTTCATCAATAGGCATTAAAGTGTCTGCGTGATAAGTAACAAAAAACTGAAGCAATGATAAAAAAACTTTGCGAGCAGTCAAACGAGGATTTTCAATTCTTTTGTATAGTCTTTTAATATCTGGATAAACTCTTTGAGCAAGAATAGGGTCGTTTTTACAAAGTATTATTAGGATGCTTATAGCTTCCACAACACTTGCTGTGATTACACTTCTGTCAGAATCTTGCTTAGGAACTTTTTCAGATTGAAAAATAAGTCTTAAACAATATCTTACTGCTACACTTTTCAAAGAACTGGAAGAGTTCACAAGAATATCTGATTTAATAGAAATGGAATCAAAAGCTGGTCCATCAAAATGTAATGGTGTCCTAGATTTATCAGGGGTTCTATTTTTACCAAGATCTAATTGATCAGCGTTAGATTCACCGTCGAAACTTTTTATTGAAGAACACGACGATGAGGACGAAAGAGATGTATTAACAGAATCTGAATCAAAAAAATTATCGAAAATTCTACTACTGCTTCTTGATAATGTACTACCAGAAAACTTGTTAAAGCCGCTCGACAAACAATCAGCAATATCAACTTGATTATCCACAAACTGTAGCCATGATTTAAGAATTGAAAAGCTATAGACATTAAGCATTTGCTGTTCATTGTATACCTTTGACAAATTTAAAACTGTGAATATGTCACGAGATATAGAACCATCTAACTCATTGGTCTGTACCTAAATGTTAATAAAAATAATATGCTTCATAAACACAATAACAGAGCCAACAACACCTGGAAGAGGAAGGATGGTAGGAAGGGGGTGAGGGGTGAAAGGGAATGGTAGTGGAGGGGAGCTCGTTTATTTTCTAAACGACCTTTTTTTTTTAAAGATATTTCTAGATATGGAGGAATTTCAGCAAATCCTGTTTTAAGTCATTTAAAACAAAAATGAATTTCTAAAAGCCTCTTATAAATAAAAAAGCTATTAAGGAGGAATCCATAAAGTACATAAACAGTACAGTGCCGTACCCAGCCGTAATCTCATACCGTTTTACCAGTATGGGCGCCTAAACTAATGCGCCCAAACTAAAAACTGGACATATCTTAAATTACAACATTTGTAATGTCTAAAATTATTTCATAGAAAAAATTATCCCTTCTTTTTTCAATTTGTTTTCATTTGTATTCCTTCGTATTTATAAAATTACTTACGACGGCAGTCCTAAAACTAAATGTACGGCTAACGACAACTTGTTGTCGTTAGCCGTAATACTTTATGTAATACTTTAAGTATTACAACTGGTTACGTATTACTATTATCAAGTTAATTAATAATTATGAAGGAGTGTTAATACCGTACTTGATAGAGTTACGAAGAACTTTCTACAATTTTTTACATTAGTAAACAAAGTATAAACGACCGCAATTATAATTTTTTTTTAACGGAAAAAGTTCAATATTTGCAATGAAAACTATCGAAGTACAATTTTATTATATACTTTTTATTTTATCCTTTTTTTTTTAGAAATGTCACGCTGACTAGAAAAGTTTTTCAATTATTTTGTCGCATATTCAGAAATCGTTGACAAAACAAAGTTTATAGTTACAAAGTTAATATTTCTAATGTAAGTTTAGAAAGTTTAACTATTTTATTAACTTATTGTTTTAATTTGATTATATTTTGCTTCTACACTTTTTAATTAGAAACTAGTACTGTTACCAAGTTACTTTCGGATAAAATACTTGTTTAATTAAATGTTTGAGGAATATTTTCTAATTTTTAACATTAACATGACACAAAGTTAAATCGAAGCGTTATCTACAAAGGAGAACAACATTTAAAAGTAGTATTTAATTTGCACGCGAAATCCAATGGAAATACATTCGAAATTTCCCTACGGAAAAATAATATTTTAAATTTACTTTTGTTCTCTATTGATATAGAAGTCTCCATACCAGCCCTCCTCCAATGGAAAAATAATATTTACGATTTTAAATTTACTTTTATTCTCTATTGATATAGAAGCCTCCATACCAGCCCTCCTCCATGGAGCCTGGTATGGAGGCTTCCATATCAAAGAGGTCGAGGAGAGGAAAAAATTAGTATAAACGGTAGCGCTCACACTCGCCTAAAACGGTTTACGGGAGCAATTTACGGCTCTCGCGAATGTATTATGTTTTCTCTCGAAAGTTTAATTATCATTGTAACTAAAATAAAAAACCCAGTCATTTTAACAATTATCTTTAACAATTCTTAAAATCCCAGCATTCTATTACAATAAGAAAATATAAAACTTTTTTTATAAGCATAGTCTAGTCAAATTACGTCTGAAAATGGGCTCATCTGGACAAAATTTGGATAAAGATGAATTTGGCATCATTCGAAGCGCAATTTTATCTAATTTAACAAAATCCACCAAAAACTATTTTAAGTAATAAAAGTTATGAACATTTTCGTTGACCTCACTTAGTAGAATATTTTTGTTGACCTCACTTCTGATAATATGAATACGCTAATTTAATATTATTATTATTAGTCGAGTTACGTCATTTTCTAGGCTTTTCTATTTTAAAGTAGTTTCTAGGCTTTTCTATACGCGGTTTTTTTTTTTTTTTTAATTTTATTTACTAACAACGCGTATTACGGGTTGATTACTGCTAGTAGTAGAATATTTTTGTTGACCTCACTTAGTAGAATATTTTCGTGAAAATCAACAAAAATTCGAAGAGTCTATTGCCAAAAAGTTGTAATAACTCACTCAAAAATGATGCGATTCCTATAAAATTTTGGACAAATTTCGTTTGATGTGTACAAATTATAAAAATTAAAAAATAATAATAACTTTGAAAAATGCTAACACCAGCACTTTTTTACTTTGAAACCATAGCATGCGCCAAAAAATTTTTTTTTTAAATAATATATTTTGTACACTTTCTAAAATGTAGAGCCGTAAGTTGATGTTGTTAATTATTATTTATAAATGATTTCTAAAGTTTAAATATTTTAATAAATACAGTTCAAATAAAAATAATAAATGTGTGAATCTGCTGATCAAGTGATGTAAGAAAGAAAGGTATCAATACCTTCGTTATTCAAATGTACGCAACAATAAATCCTTGATGAACAACTGAATGAAAAGAAAACGGTGACAGTACATGTGAAATACAGATGTGATTATACAAACCCAAAAAGAAAAGTGTAAATTATCAAACGGAAAGCCCTAAAATTAAAAGACTCTTCTTATTTACTTAATCTTGTGCTTGTGTCATACACTCGATTATATTTATGTGTGTAGGAGAATGATTTTTTTCGTTTGCTGAAAAACAGTTATTCTGTTCTTTTATATTCTTTTAACTGCTTTTAATAAGCGAAATAATAGTCAAGTTAGAAAAAATTTATTTATAATTTAATATAATTCAAATGAAAGCAATGCTGCTTCATTTGCGTCAACCTAGCATTATCCGACCCTTAACATCGTGATCGTAAAGCCGTAATACAAATGCGCACAATAAAATGGAAAAAGTATGGAAAAAGTTTGTGAAGGAAGAAAAGACAAATGGGCACTTGATTTAAAATCTCGTTTAAATTGCTGTGTTGACCTGGTTGCGAGTGACTCTATATACCACTTTGAATAATTCTATATACCACTTTGAATGTTACAAGCTATTTTCAACTAATAGGGAGTATGTTTCAATTCAAATATAATTGAATTGATTTCTTTCCTCTTGTAATAATAATGTGTTAATATTTTGTGCTGTTGCTAATAAGCAATTACCAAATACAGAAAATGTAATGTATGACCAATTCTGACTAAACTTTATGTAATGTGTATTTTTATGTTTCATATTCTTCACAAGAAAGCTCTAATCTATTTTCAGGTCAAACTTGAGTGAAACAGAAAAGTCTGATCGCAAAGAAAATTCAACAATGGTGGAGAACTTTGAAAGGCTATATGGGTGGTTTGAGAGTCAAATGGTTCCTGTGACATTTTCTGAATTGCACAATAAAACGGAAGAGCTAGCAAATTCTGAGATTTATTCAATGAAGCACCTAAAGAGAAAATTAGAAGAAAAATACTAAGATAACATAATTATTTGCGAACTGAAGGAAAACCCAAATTAGTATGCTTTAAAGATTCAGCTACATTTATAAAGACGGAGAGCAATGATGCAAATAAAGAAGTTATCATTAAAATCGCTGTTAAGTTGATAAAGGCAGAAATTTTAAATCTTAAATTCAACAAAGAGAATCACCCATCTAAATACGATTTTGAGCATAATGAAGAAATTTTCATCAGAAATAATACGTTTCAAACAATTTGTAATGGCTAACAACAATAGCAATATTTAAGGAGTGCTGGATGGATTACTCTTTATGGGATGGGCATCATCACTGATGTGATGATAAATTCTAAAATTTTGGATAATTAACGTCGAATTAAAATAATAAACTATAGTTTAGAAGCAGCAGAAATAGTCTCTAAAATAAATATTCTAATTTTGTGGTACGACGTTCCTGACACAACTGCATTGACAAAGATACTCTTCAAGCCCATTGTTGAGCTTCAGTCACCACAGACTTTTTCATTGTCTCTCGGTGTGGAACTTTTCTGGCAAATTTTGTTCATTTTAACTGCCAGTGAGAACCGGGCACAATGGAACGGATTTATGCAACTTAATCATAATGGTAAAAGTCAACCCGGAAAAAGTCAGGTATTCATAGCGTCTATTACTAATTTAAACCTATCTGATGAAAACTGCATTTATTCTACACTAGTTTTTATACAGAACAAAGCAAAGTCAATGAAACTTCCTACTCCAGGTGTAACCTTTGATCAGTCTTTATATTTAAAAGCTTACGAAATTGCAAAATTAAAACAATTGAATATAGCTATTCGATTGGGAGGATTTCACACATTAATGAGCTTTCTTGAAAGTATTTGTATTGTTATGGAGGGATTAGGGCTGAATAGATTACTCCAACTTATTTATGCAAGCAACTCTGTCATGCATATAATGACTGGTAAAGCAGTAGCTAGAGCACTAAGAGCTCACTTCTTATTGAACCTGCCTTGATGAGTCTACTTTTTAAACAAGTCCCTAAAGGTGAAATTCACGCTTCTTTCCTAGAATATATATCTTCAATTCACTTAATTCAGAACACCCGTGGCTTTATAAAAAGTAATGTAAATCAGATTACCTTTGTATCAGGCGCATGGATTGGTATTGGGCTGATCTTTACCTTGATTTAGTAATTGAACAGTGCATGATGAGATCAATAAAAAGCAGTAGAGGCTTAACTAGAAGAAGGGGTATGTCCAAGACTACAAAGAATATTTGTGTTAGTACCTTGTACAAATGCGGAGCTATCCATGAATCAATGTCAACACGCATCATTTTGAGAGCAGTCAGCAACATTGTGAATCTGGTGGATTATGTCCAAAAAGAGATACAAAAGATTTATTTAATCCTATTCGAGTTTCAAGACTCAAGACTTCAATGTATATTTACCAGCCTAAGTGCTTATAAGGATGATGAAATCAATTGTGTTCAAGCAGAAACAGTTGGTTTAGAAATTCAAAACAGTCTTAATAATATTGCAGCCAACCAAGCAATTATCAAGTTTTCAAAGCAGGTCAAAAAACTTGTGACGTTGCTACTAACTGTCAAAGTTAATGGCAATGCAGTCCACATAGATCCTAATGTTTTCTTCCAAAGGCTAATCATGCTAAGAGA